AAGTAAAATTTACAGCAGACACTAATAATGAGAAAACGCATTAAGTGTCTCATCTGCACTGTCTAAAAAAATTCCCGTCATTAGACAGATCCAAGATCTTTAAGAGATTAAAAATCCTAAATACATAAGTAAATGGAAGTTTTATTGCCCTCTGTATTGACTAGCATTATCTACAAGGACTTTGGAAATTTTTAACGTTTTAAATAAAATAAAATTCTAGAGACAAATAAAATAAAACTTTAAAATAAAATAATTTAAGGAACATTCGAAAATAATAATAAATGTTAGTAGTAAATTTTAAAATAATAATAACATAAATAATTTAAATAATTCCTTTAGAAAAAACAAATAATTACAACAATAGAAAATATTTAAATAATCTTAAAGAATAATAACTAATTATTGATAATGAATATTATTATCAATAAATGAATCAATAAATAAATTAGTTAATAATAAAATAAAGGACTTAGTTAACTAAAGAAACTATGTATTTGTGTGTATGTAAATGTGCTTGCATGTACTCCAACACATAAGTATATACATATAGCCTATAAGTAAGAGAGAGAGAGGCACACCATGCCTCTGGGCCCAAAGAAGGGAGTTCAAGTGAACATCTTTAGAAAAACTCGGAAGAGGGTAGAATCTAAGGGAAATAGACAGTTAATTGGATACTGTTTTCCCCCAAATAGTAATTTAGAAACGCCCGAAAATTCGAGTCCCAAAAGAACTTCGCATGAACTCGCTCTCGTCATCTTGACCCCGAAGTGTGCGGATCGCCCAATTAGCTAGTGATCGGGTTCCTCTCACGCAGCTAAATAGTTTTTTTAAATATTGAGTCCTCGGTTTGAGCCTCTTGTTAGAACGCACCCTCGTGCGGGAGACTCGCCAGAGAACTGAAGGACTTTTATAATAATTTGTGGAAAATAGGAAGGATGGCTATTCTAATAATAATATAACACTTTGATTATATGCAAAAATAAGTCTATGTACATACAAATCTATTCGAGATCAAGTCCGTGAAAAAATATTTAAGGTTTAAAAGAAATCCATGCATCAACATCTCTATGTTGTGATGTCATATCACGGTTTAGTTGAATCGCGACTGGCACCGCCACGCGAGCACTAACGATACCCCTTTGATAGCGCGAAATTTAACATTAAATTTATTTTTATAATAAGAATACTTTTGGAAAAACCCCACAACCCAGGTTTAGACTTTTAGCTATTAGTAAAAAAGGTTATTATTAAAATGTATTTTTACTCTCTGAAAATTCAACACAATAGACTAGGAATAATTAGATAGTAAAGAGGATTAAGCCATAAATATATAAATTTACTACCTAATTGCTCTCGACTTAAGTAATTATAGAAATTAGAAAATATATTTTAATCTCTTAAGAAATATAAAATGCTGTATAAAAAATGCGAGAAGATAGTCTGAGCCGATTAGTGACCCTCATTTATGACGAGTCTCCGGTTCAACCACTCAATCCGGTAAATTCCCAGGGATGATGAAACTTCGGACAATTCTGCTGGCGAGCCCGGGTAGTTCAACAACGGTCGGAAAGAACGAGTACCTGAAGTAGTAGGAGCACAGCTAGGACCCAGTAGGAAAGAGAAGGACCAATCAACGTTGCCAAAAGCCCAGTACAACGGAATACTCAGATAGTAGGGAGAGTTGCCCCCGCCACTTCTAGTGATATAAGTCGGACTTAGACATTTTTGAGAAACATTAGATTAGTATTCGAGCTCAGACTTATCACCTCGTTTCTAATTTTGTGTACCCGGGAAAAAATGAATTTGCCTAATCATATATGGTTATATATAATCTCACTTATATATAATTAGACCTCAAAATTGGCCAGATCTAATCATATATAATCATATATAATTAGATATAATTATATATAATTATTTCTATAAAAATAAAAAATATTCACCGCGAGCGGAGATCGAACCGGGGACCCCTGATTAAAAAAAAGTATTGAAAAAGTATGTAATTCAATACTTTTTCAATACTTTTCACACACTGTATATCTATATATACATACAATATAGATATACAGTTGCATAGTTCAATACTTTTTTTAAATCAGGTACCTGACGCTTCAAAGACCAACACACTACCTGTTTACCTATACGAGACTTACTGGAAGAGTAAAGCTTGAAATACCTACAACTAATGCAAATCGAATACATAATCGATTTTTATAAGTTAAATTAATTAATACAGTTCCATTATTTCATCCACAAACAACTATAGTTTAAAATATTATTAATCATTTGAGTAGCAGACTCTGAGATGAAAACAGAGAATGTTTTATAGTAATCACAAAATTCATATATAATTAGATGTGATTCATATATAATTATATATGATTTATATATAATCATATATGATTTATATATAGTTATAAATGATTCATATATAATTATAATTGATTATATAATTGGGATTCTAAATTTCATTTTTATTTTTTTCATCTTTTTTGTGATTAAATTTTTCTGAATTACAAAATAGAAAATTTTTTCTTGAATATTTAAACTGTGCAGATTTGAGTAATCAATTATTTTGAAAATAATAAAATTAAAAAAATAATTTTTTAATTATTCAAATAATTTTGTTCAATTTTGAATTAGTTGACAGAGATTTTTAGTCGTATAAAATTGATTAATTTGAAAATAAAATGAAAGAGAAATTTTATGATAAATTACTACACTTAATTTTTTTTTTTTTTTATCGAAGATTTATAAATTTGAAAAAATGAAAACATTTAATTAAATTTTAATTTCAAAGCTCCAGCGCCACACACTCACAGTAAATGCAGTGCTTGCAACTTTATGATAGATACTACATACTACATACTTATTTTACATTGAGATGTTGACGCATGGATTTATTTTATACCTGAAATATTTTTTCACGGACTTGATCTCGATTAGATTTATTGTACATGGACTTATTTTTGCATATAATTATTGTCAAATAGATAAATTTTTTCCATAAAAATATTCTCTAGAAATATATTCAATAGAAATGTCTATTATGAAGTTCTTTACACAGAGATATTTTCGTGTACGTTTGTTAAGTTTGTTATCGTGTACGGGAGAAATACATGTCGCCGACTGTATTACATAGAAATATCTGACATGGAGCTGTCATAGAGATATTCTGTGCACATTTGTTACTGTGTACGGGAGAAATACATGTCGCTGACTGTAATTTTAATTTAATTTCCACCTTTGATTGAAAAACTGGCCCTTATGCTTACGTTTTATGCTTACTTTCACACGTAAAATACTCGGTAATTTACCGATTAAGTTTTCGATATGACGTATTTTTATTGTACATGTTTTATGTTAAATATGTGTTTACTTTCAAGACTCATTAATCTATAAATGAATTTAATAAATCTCTGATCGTCATAAATAAGTACAATAAAAATTAAACTACCTATAATAAACTTCTATTTAATTTAAATTGTAGAGTCAACAACTTTTCAATTTGTACTTCACGATGTTATGCTTCCATCTAGGGGATGTTATTTTTATTTATTGAAAACTTTACTTACTGTAGTTCTTTCGCCCGGGAGTATTAAAATACTCGGTTTCAGCGCGGGAAAGGAATAATTTTTTCTGCCCTCCGGCCGGAAAGTGGCAACTTTCTGGCCGCTGCGCTAAACAAAGTTGCCACATTCCAGCTACGTCGAGCAGAAAAATAGTATACACATCTTGGCCAGTAAAAAGTAAAGCCTCAGATCACATGTTTGTCCACCTCGGCTTCGCCTCGGCCAACAATTACATGTGATCTGAGACTTTTCTTATTTTACTGGCCTAGGTATGTAATATACTATAAATAAAAGAATTCTATTTAGACGTTATTTAATTTTGATCAAAATTATTTAGTTGGTTTTAATTTATTATTCAAGTTGACAAAATATTAAAAGCTTGAAAATATGAAATTGAGGTTTACAATGACGTGATCTTAGCAATCTAAGCTCTCGATGAGAAGTGTCGTTACATAGTTTTTCCGGAGAGCTTCAAACTCCGTTCTTCTCCCACCATAACTCCCATACATATATCCACTCTTGTACATATATAAGTACACATTTTTACTACATATAAATGATTTTCACACTAATATATAATATTTTCTATTATATTTACATACATTTATTTATAAATTATATATATTGCAGTTGATTAATATTCGTATTTTGCAAATTAGATTAAGCTTATTACTATTTCTATCAATCTATAATTTATTAAAACTATAAAATAGTTTAATTGTTAATGTAAGAGATAAATATCATTTAATAATATTATTTTATAAAATCTTATTCTTTTAACATTAATAATTATTTATAGGTTGGATACAGGATATAAATTGTTAATTTAATTTTTATATATTTCGTTGCAATATTATATTAAAGCAAGTTTAACAAAAATATGTTATTTAACGATCTTATTCTTTGTTAGATATTTGTTACGTTATTATTTAGCCGTTGAAACAAGGGATCGAAGAATTTTCCTCACACGTGTCTTTTATGGCTTTTCCTCAGAATCTCAAGTACCTAAGGTTTCTCAGAACTCAACTACAATATCCCTTTGTACTCGACAATAGCTTACATTTATTTGAAACAAAATATACTCTATAAAATAAATATTCAACGATACAGAACCTAAACTTTCTAATTTGAACAGTGTTCACTATTTAAATTATGAATTAATAAAATAATTTAATATAATCTAAATTACATTTAAATTTGCACTTCACTGCTAGTAGCGTCATCTGCTGGATGCATCTAGAGGCATTACAACGATAAGTCGTAGTGTCGTAGTAAATGTATTTTCCCACAGTTTCCTGTCTGGTGGATTAATGGATTAATACCAGAAAAAGATAGCTATCGATAAAAATGTTTCTCGGGAGGGGGGGGGGGCAAAATGAGTTTATATCTTTCTGTAACCTTTTTCAAATAAAATGAATTTCAATTAAAATGTTTTCGAGAAATTTTTCAATGCAATGGCTATTAATTATCATTCTATTGACTGTAATTTTATTTTTTAAAATAGAATTAGGAACAGTAAAAAATGAAAATAAAATTTTATGTAAGTTAAATTCATTACTTTTCATTTTAACTTCAAGCAGTTTTTATATAAATATAATCAATATTGATATGTTTACAAAATCCAAAGTTAACAAACTTACGGAAGTCGAAAATTATACCAAAAATATGCGAGAATTCAAGAGTAATACCGGATCAGAAAAATTTGAAGATATAACAATAATATATAACAGAGTTCCAAAGACAGGATCTACTAGTTTTGTTGGGGTCGTATATGATTTGTGTAAAAAAAATAAATTCCATACACTACATATCAATATTACCAATAATATGCACACTCTCACGCTCTATAACCAAGTTAGTATTTAATTTTATAATGAAAAATTTGATGACTTATTAATAAAAGGAAAAATATTTGTAATCAAACAGATTCAGTTCATCACAAATGTTACTCAATGGGATGTCATAAAGCCTGCTTTTTATCATGGACATATAGCTTTTCTAAATTTCAATAAGTAAGAAAACTATCTAACATATCAGAAAATAAACATACGTAAGTATATTTTTATTCTAGGTTTGGAGTGAAACGAATGCCTCTATACCTCAATTTATTGAGAAAACCACTTGATAGGTTTGTTTCTTATTATTATTTTCTTCGCTATGGAGATAATTTCCGTCCTCATCTAATAAGAAAGAAATATGGTGACACAAAGACTTTTGATGAATGTGTTAAAGCTAGCCAAGCTGACTGTGATCCGAGTAATATGTGGTTACAAATACCTTTTTTATGTGGTCATGATCCCGGTTGTTGGTATAAAATTTTTTAGAGAATAACGAATTATAATTTATTTCGCTTTTAATTTTAAAATGTTTTTTTTTTTTTTTTTTTAAATTAAAATAGGGAAGTTGGTAATCGCTGGGCTCTAGAAGAAGCGAAACGGAATTTAGTGAACAATTACTTTCTTGTTGGAGTTACTGAAGAACTAGATGAATTTATCCACACTTTACAAATTGTGCTTCCAAGTTTTTTTCGAGGAGCACATGATATGTTTTCTCACAGTAAGATATGACTCACAAAATTAATAAGATCATAAAAACTTGTGCTGAGAAATACGATTACTCCGCGACCGGAATGAAAGTGAATTTCTAATTAATATCTATCATAATATACAAGACCATAAAAACGAAAGTAATATTAAAATTTTATCAAATTTACGTGCAATTTTGGCTTTTCAAAACAATAAAAATATGGTGATTGAAGCTTATTTCAAAAGTTTTGAGATGCATTTTACGGAGATCTGATGTTTTTATATTCAAAAATTATTTCGATAGAAAACAATAAAAAGATCAAATGTAAAAAAAAAAATTGAATAAAAACTGCAGCTCCATATGCCAATTGCACTATGAGTTCGTTGAAATTTCATTACTCGATTCGAATACATTAAAAAAAAATTATTCGATTTTTTATATCAATTCATGCCATTAAAAATATGTTTTCAATTCAATGATGCTTATTTCAATAGCAAATTGCTTTCAAAGATTGTTTCGGATTATAAACAATGTTGTTATTTTAAAAATTTTAATTCTGAAAATAGTTAGCTAGTAAATAAAGAAAAGCTGATACATTTTTTCTATAGTATCTGTATAGAATCATTTTATTAATTCATTAACGATAGAAATTTTTTCGCATAAAAAATTATTTCTAAAATTCTACATATTATTTTTTATTTACAAAAATTCCAATCTTTACTTAGTACGATATGGTATCAATGACAGTTTTTGAATGTGCAGTCAAATATATAATGTGAACGAAGTTTATTCATTTATGAGCGCTCATAGTACATAGTATAATAGCTGGAACCAAATTATTTCATTTTTCTAAATTTTTTGTTAATATTAAAAAGTTAGTTTCCAGCTATTGTTTCAGTTGGAAAATAAAATCTATATCAAAAAAATATAGAGCTGCAGTTTTAGAAAAAATGTTTTCTTACACTAAGGGCCAGTTTTTCAATCCAGAATAAAATTTTATCCAATGATAAAATATATCTATATATTTCATATATATAAATATACAGGCAATAATAATTTTATCCTGGATAAAATTTGATCTTGGATTGAAAAACTGGCCCTAAAATAGCAACAAAATTAATATTTTTCAGGCTAATAGATACAATAGTTATTTTTTGAATGACAACCTTAAAAAATCTGAAAAGGAACCAAATAGCCATAATGCCCATAATTATGCTGAGCTTCGTAATTTTTTATTGAAAATACTTAGATATTACAATTTTCAATTTTTGAGCAGTTTTTATGTCAATAATATTTTAGAATTTACTTTGAAAATGAAAAACAAAATTAATTAAGGCAGTATGACGATTTATTTTTTAATTCTATAAAAGCGAATCGACGAATTTTAAACCATATTTTTTGTTGTAATTTTTCTCAAAAAATCTTTAGTGCATATGTATATTTTATTAAGTAAATTTTCTTTTGAAATACATATATAATAGTACTATATATTTTACAGCATCACAAAAATTTCTTTTAGTAATACTTTCGAAAATAATTTTTTATATTAACTAATATCGTTTAAACTAAATGAAATGACACAGTTTGAAAACAATGTAAATGTTAGCAAACATATTTTTTATAGATCGCTTTTTATAATTAACTTTATTAAATACTTTTTGTGCAAATGTAAATTCGATATTACTCTATAAGTGTCTCGTAACCAAAACTATTACTTTTACATAAGTTTTAATTCGTGTCAGTTGACTAAGTCAGAAAATTTTGAAAAAGACATTTTTTACTTTTTAATAGATTTCTTTACCACTTGGAATTTTTTCAACAATTAAATATATTATAGTTTTTACATTAATAAATGATATTGATGATTTTTTAAGCATAAAATAATTTTCCATACATGATTGTAGGTGACAAGTCTCATCTGCGTCAAACTATTCAAAAGATAGATCCCCTTCCAGAAACGGTGAAGAAAATTCAAAACTCAACTGTTTGGAAGATGGAAAATGAATTATATAATTTCGCTCTTTCTTATTTTCATTCTGTAAAGAAGCGTCTCATAAATGCTTCTTCGCAAGATTTAAATCAACATTTTATGTATGAAAAAATACGACCCAAGTGAATGAATGAATCTTGAAATAGTACGGTATTATAAATAAATGATCGGTAAAACATTATAGTGTAAATATTAGTGATTTTATTTTTTAGGCCTTAGTGCAAACATATGTACAGGATATAAGCCTTCAGGTAAACGGAGTTGTTCTTGTTCTTTGATGCATACCAAATTTGCAGCATCAAATACTGTTTTAAGCTTATCATATGGCCTAGTGAATGAAGAATCTTGAGTATCTATTTCGATTTTTTTAGAACTCGTTATATTTTCTTTAACTATGATCATTCCATTTTCTTTTAATGCGTTGCTACAAGTTGAATAATAATAATAATTCTGAAATAAATGAGTATTTTAAGAAAAAATTACCTGCATTTTTTCAAAAACTTTAACAAATCATCATCTTGAAGATATCCTAAAACCCATTGACACCAAATAATATCATATTTATTTGATTCTGGACAAAAATCTTGTAATCCTATAAGTTTATTTAGTAAATTATTTTTTAGTTTTTATTTTAAAATTAAAGTCATTACCTACCTAGTAAGTAAAATTGACCGATATTTGATGAAGATCGTAAAAGTTTTTTGGCTGTATCTAAAAATTTTGCATTTTGTTCTACGAGATCTACCCACTCAAAATTTTTGATAAGTAAATTTTTAGTAATTCTTCCTATACCACTACCACAATCTAATGCATACTTATGACTTGGAGCATCTTCAATCTGGAAAAGAAACTAGGAATATTATCAAAAATTTAAACACAAAATTAAAAACATCATACTTCAAAAAGGGAATTCAAAAAATTTTGAGATCCATCGATGTCAATATTTGATATGAACCCAAAACCACCCAACATTCCGTTGAGCGTTGCGGGAACATTAGCCCAATAGTTAGCTGAACCCGTATAAAATTCTTTTGGATCATAATTTACTGTTGAATTAGCTTCCATTTTTTTATAAACAAAGTCACTTCTTTATTATTATTATTATAATTTAATTGCGAATTTAATTATAACATGATAAACAATTTCAAAATTTAAACCTATGTTAAGGCTAAAAAAATATCAAAAAATAAACAATAAGACAATTAGATCGAAAATTTTTCTAAGCAAAAAGATAAACAAATAATGGAAGTGGATCGCGTTATTACAAAAAAATAATGATTTCAAAAATTACAGAACACAAGGTATAATTGTTTTGACAGTAAATGAGTAAATGCTTCAGGTGTTCTAGTGTTCAAAACGTTGATACAATAAGACAATAGAATGAGCGTGTTCAGCCGAACTAAGTCCTGAGTAAACTTAGTAAGATATGCAAAGATATGTATAGTATAGTAGATAGATATATGTATAGCAGGGAATGCTTTGACTATACTTAGGCTAACTAAGTTACTAAGTTTACTCAGGACTTAGTTTGGCTGAACACGCTCAATTTCTATAGTTTCATAGTTACTATGCGTAACATTTGTCTGCGTTCAGGTTTACTAAGTTCTGATTAGGACTGACTTTATTCACCAAAAAATTAATATTCAGACACACTTAAATAAGTGTACAGTCGGCGACATGTATTTCTCCCGTACACGATAACAAATGTCCACGAAAATATCTCTATGTAAAGAACTCTATGTGAGATATTTCTATTGAATATCTTTTTTAGCGGAAAATTTTTATGGGAAAAAATTTGTCTATTTGACAATAATTATATGCAAAAATAAGTCTATGTGCAAATAAATCTATTCGAAATCAAGTCCGTGAAAAAATATTTCAGTTTTAAAATAAATCCGTGCAGCAATATTGTTATGCTTCCATCTAGTGGATGTTATTTTTATTTATTGAAAACTTTACTTACTGTAGTTCTTTCGCCCGGGAGTATTAAAATACTCGGTTTCAGCGCGGGAAAGGAATAATTTTAAATAAAAGAATTCTATTTAGACGTTATTTAATTTTGATCAAAATTATTTAGTTGGTTTTAATTTATTATTCAAGTTGACAAAATATTAAAAGCTTCAAAATATAAAATTGAGGTTTACAATGATGTGATCTTAGCAATCTAAGCTCTCGATGAGAAGTGTTGTTACATAGTTTTTCCGAAGAGCTTCAAACTCCGTTCTTCTCCCACCATAACTTCCATACATACATCCACTCTAAGGAATACATAAGTACATACATTTTCTACTACATATAAATGATCCTTATACACTACATGTATTTTCTCTATATCTATATATATTTATTTCAGCCTATCGGCCTGAAAGTTGGACTTCACTAATATACACTTTTAGCAATACAGTCATTATGTTTATCTAACTATTTTTATTAATTTAACAAACCCTTTTAAAATCTATTTATAATAAAAATTAACTTATAATTAACTTGAAATTAAATTACAATAAAATTATAATAAACTATAACATGAAAGTATATATATTATATTATTTATAATATGTACGTTGGACTAATGTTTGAGTTTGAATAATTAATAATTTGAATTAAATATTATTTTTATCGGATTTTCTAATAAAATTATAAGTCAGTTTAATTATTATCCTGTATAAAAGAATAGATATTATTATTTAATTATAAATTAAATAATAATTAGATAATGATTTAATAATAAATTAATAGTAAATTAGTTAACTAATAATTATTAGTTATAAATTAAATATAAGATACTAATTATTAATTATTTTAACTCAATTTTGCTTAGCTACAATATTATATAAAGTTAGATTTTAACAGTAAATGTTATTTAACAATATTATTTTTGTTTAGTTACATATGGTTTTTTATTATTCTTTGTTACTTTTAGAACAGGGGTCAGGGGTCTATTGAGTTTCACACGTGTCTTTTACGACTTTTCCTCATAGGGTTTTAAATTCCATGTGGCGAGAAATAGTCCTTGAATTACTCAAGTACTTTTTATGGGTTCTGGAAATTCGGTTACAATGTCCTTTCGTACCGAAATATGTTTTTCCCTTTTTTTTTTTATTTTATTTTATTTTCTTTTGTAAATAAAACAGAGTTAACCAAAAGATGTTTATTACAATTGGTTAGAGTAGAAGCATTAAATAAATGATTTGAATATTTAATTCAAATATAAAATTTAACTAATTTAATATTTACTAATTTGAATATTTCGTTTGAATTCGCGCTCTCATAATAGATAGCGCTCTAATAACAGGTAGCGTCACCTGCTGGATGCACTAGGTGCATCACAACATCTACAACATCTCTATGTAAAATAAGTATATGTAAATTTACAAATTTACTATAGTATCTGTCATAAAGTTGCATGCACTGCATTTACTGTGAGCGTTGAAGCGCTAGAGTTTTGAAATTAAAATTTAATTAAATGTTTTTTATTTTTCAAATTCATAAATCTTTGATGGAAAAAAAAAAAAAAAAAAAATTAAGTGTAGTAATTTATCATGAAATTTCTCTATCATTTTATTTGCAAATTAATCAATTTTATACGATTGAAAATCTCTGTCAATTAAATTGGATCAAAATTATTTGAGTAATTAAAAAATTATTTTTTTAATTTCACAATTTTCAAAATAAATGATTACTCAAATCTGCACAATTTAAATATTCAAGAAAAAAAATTTTTCATTATAGGATTCACAAAAAGGATGAAAAAATAAAAATTAATTTTAGAATCCCAATTACCACATTAGAAATGAGTGTTCCTATTGTTTCTATTTTTAATTCCGTATCCAGATTAATTCAGAGCAAGCGGGTAACAGCTGGGATATATACATATAGATTTAATGGGAAGGTAAAACTGTACATGTAGAAATAAATAGTAAAAATTTATTTTTTCATTTATTTAATTAAAAATTTTATTAACTATCTACAGGTAATGTTATTAATAAAAACTATACAATATTACATATAATCATGCCCTGATTAAAGAACCGAATTAACAACAATGGAAACAGAATTAAACAGAATTGGTTTTCCAATTCTGTTTCCATTGTTGTTAATTCGGTTTAATTCGGTTCTTTAATCAGGGTGTATGATTATATACAATTATATATGATTATATAGAAACATTTTTTCTCGGGTAGTTCATCGGATTTATAATCATATCAGCGAGGACATTTTATTTTTCAATGGAATACTAAATTGGATGTGCTTCTTGCGTTTGACGTATCTATTATTAATTTATAATTGTGTTAATTAATTTAAAATACTTTAATTGACACAATAAGAGGTCATTATTATTTTATGATATATTTATATTTATTTTCATTGAAATGAATGACCAAATACCAAATTCATGGAGAACTAACTGAGAGCAATATCACGTCGCTGAATTATTATTTTTTTTTTTTTAATTATATTGGTAATACTTTTATCTCGGATAAAATTTTATCCCGGATTGAAAAACTGAGACAGGTAGCGTCACCTGCTGGATGCAACTAGGTGCATCACAACTGCCGCGGTATTCGGCATTATCTATTGACCACGAGATGGTAGTCTAATCACTTTTAGATACTAAGAATTTAATTTTATTATATTATATTGGTATTGCACAATTGACCACTAAATTTTACTAAGAATCGGGATTTCTAACCTAAGGCTGGTTTTTCTATTTTTCTACATTTTCAATCCAAGTTACTGTGAAAGTAATTGAAGATTTTATTTACAGAAAAATTGATCAAAATTAAAAAATCACGACAACAAAGCTGACTACCAATTTTTTAAGAAAATTTTTTACCAATCCAAATATATTAACAATGTCAGTTGGAGGAAGCGGTGGTCGAGATTTGGCTCTGTTGATGTTAAAATCATTACCGAGAGTATGTTTGGGAAACTTACGAGCTAATCCCGGTACATTGAAAAAGGTTCCGATCAATTATTATCAATAATTTTATTTTATTTTTTTTGTATTTTTAAAAAAAATATACTTCATTTTAAGAATAAAAGAGGAAGAGGTCAACACGGCGGTGACAAACATGGTCATGGAAACAAAGGTTCTGGTCAACGACAAAATTACATGAGACTTGGATATGAAACAGGAAATAGACCATTCTATCTTAGATTTGGTTTCGAACCATACTATAAAAATCACCAGTAAGTACTTAACATAATAAAAATTCTGCATCCTGGAATAATAGTTTTTTTATAAATAAAAAAATTTTTTTAGTTTGAGGCGTCAATATCCTCCATTCAGTTTACAACAACTGCAAATGCTTATAGATACAAACCGAATTGATACCTCAAAACCGATTGATCTCGCAACTTTGATAAACACTGGTTTATTTTCTATCGATACTAGGCAGACTCATGCTGGATTCCAACTCACTATTGATGTTTGTATAAGAATCAATTATCTATTAATATACAGTCAGGGTTTTACGGAAACCTTTCAATATTAAGTTATTCTCCTAAATTTATGACTTCAAGTAAAACATTTTTAGGGATTTAATAGTAATGATGTGAAACTGAAACAGAGCTCAATTTAACGTAAATATATTAGGAGTTTGTTATAATCACACGATAATGTAATAAAAACCTAAGAAGTTGTGTTAAATTACACCTGATCTTGACTCAACATTTTTTGCTCTAAATTTTTTAGATCTTTCAAATGTCAAATATAAGCATTTTTTATGTTAAATTTCACTCTAATTTTATTTCAAGTTTAAAAGTACTAGCTATCAGGATCGCAATTGTTTACTTTTTTTGAAGAGCCGTTTTTTAATTAATAGGGTGCTGATCACTTCAATTCCAAAGTTAATATTGAAGTACAATGGACAACTGAGCCAGTAATAGCGGCAATCGAAAAAAATGGAGGCACGATAACTACAGCTTATTATGATAAGATTAGCTTAGATTGCTTAGCAGATACAAAAAAATTTTTCAAGAGAGGTAATGCATTTTATATTTACTTTATCTTACTCAATTAAATACTTAACGAGTTATTGTTAAATGTTGGTCATTTCACTGAATAGATTTCTTGTACGCATGATACTCTTTAATTATTTTAATGTTTCGTGATCTTATTTAAATAAAAAAAAAAATCAATTAAATTAATCTTTTTATTATTTAAATTACTTTTTGAAATTAGAAGCAATTGTATGGAGCTATTAATTTTTTGTTACAAATAACTGAAGAAATTTTGTTAAAATAATGAATGTTTAGGAAATTTCTCAGTGTTTAATATATATTCAATATTATTGTAATCTGAAATTTATAAGAGTGAAATTTTAAACGCTTGGAGTTTATTCTTTTCAAATGTCTGTAATTAGGCAAATATTGGATGTCAGTATTCAATAACTTTTTAATGATACCAAATCGTTATTTAATTTTCAGGTAGTCCAATTCCTCGAAGAATGCTACCACCTATAGATTGCTTAGAATATTACAGCAGTGCAGCTACTCGAGGTTATCTAGCTGACGTACAACATGTTGCACATGAAAGACTTGTTTTATCACAAAAATATGGTTACACTTTACCGGAATTAGAAAATGATCCTGAATTCAACATGCTTGCGAAACGTAAAAATCCACGGCAGGTATTTCATGGTCTAGCACCCGGTTGGGTCGTAAGTTTGAAAGATAAAGCTATTTTGAAACCAACAGCTGACTATCTCAAAGAATATTATACTAATTAAATATAGTTAGTGTTGAAAACTAATATCACAGTTGGAATCGTACAATAAATATCAATTGTTTTCAATGTTACTCCGTTTATTTTTTTCTAAGTCTTTTTATTTTTATATTGTTTGAATAACTTGTACATATTATATTTAGATTTAAACACTTAATAATTAAAAAATATTGAAATTTGTATGTTTGGTGGCTGTTGCTATCATATCTTGGCTAATAGACCATAATTTAGAAGCTAAACTTTGGTTCAAAGAAGTGTCAGATGGTTTACAACGATAGCAATTACTAAAATACATATTTGATAGGCCTTCTAATTCGCTTGCTGTTGCACAAAAGACTACTGTACTGGCTGCTTGCTGCAATGATTTTGTAAATGGTCTTACTAAAGCAAAAAGAACTTTGTAGAAACATGAGTAACGGGGTAAATCGGTAAACACCATATTTCCTGGATGACAACTAAAAACACTGACTGATGGCCATCGTTTAGCCAGTTCTTGAGCAAACACAATATTACAAAGCTTTGAATTGTTATACGCATCCATCGGCCAATACTTGAATATAGACGGAGATAATTTTAATTGATAAATATCTTCCCTTGTTAGTATTGATGAGAACCTAAATGAATACAAAAGTGAGTTTTGAGAATTTGTTAATGTATTGTATTTACTCTACCTGTGTGATTCACTAGCAACCACCACTATTCTACTGTCAGTAGTGATTTTCAAATGGTCTTCCAGTAGAACAGTTAAATAATATTGAGACAAATAATTGACTTGGAATGTTTGTTCATAACCATCTTCAGTCAATGAGTACGGATGTGCGAAAATGCCTGCATTCAATATCAATATATCCAATGCACTAAAAAAAGAAATTCATTTCAGTTTTCTAAATTGAGATTTAGATATAAAAAGTTTGGAAAATCCAAAAGTGCACGCCTCATAACGTTCATTCATTAAAAAAAAAATAAATTGTGTAATTGGTAAAAAAAAAAAATAAAAAATAAAAAAATAATAACAAGTAATTAAGTAATTTCTGACTGAGTATTTTTTATTTTTAACTTTCCTCTAAGAAAATTGAAAATTTTCATAAGTTGGGAAGTTATTGGTTTTGCCGCGTTTTTCGAAAATCGAGTTTTCAACGGATGCTGACGTTTTGAGGTCCTAGGGAGCTTCCCCGAATGTTTCCGCGATGATGTCCGTATGTGGGTATGTATGCGCACGCGCGCGTGTGTGTTTGTCGCTACGCTCGTCCGGATAAATAACTCGGTCTTGATAAGAATGCGCCTATGGCCTAAAACTTGTGACATCACTTCAAGCCGTCAAAATCCCTACCTTTACGCATATGTATCGAAAATAACTATTTCGAAACGTTTTTTTTTTTTTTTTCAAAATAGCAACATTAAATGATTGTAGAAAGTATAAAATGGTTTAATTTAAGTGTTTTATCGGTGTACATCTACTTATATTATTGTATAAGTGCAATATGGTTGTGACAGAAGCATTTGAAGATCACAAGATTGCTTAACCTTGCTGAGTAGGGGATCAAGTACAACCTCACGCGCTTAATTCGCGCTATGAAGCGTGCAATAATATTGAATAATCTAATGTCTGTGTGAAATATTGATGTTCTGAGTATCGTATTCTTCAAAAAGGAGATGCAACATTATTAGTATCATTCCTTTTCTTCCATTTCACATAAACCCTCTTTTTTTTTATTTATAAGTTTAAAGTTATTAAAAACAAATCTTCAAGTTACTGATATTTTTTCTGTAATAAAATTATTTGATTTGATTATAGAATAGATATTTATAATATAACTGATAAATTTGGATTTGTCTTTGACAAACTTAACATATATAATAAATCCGGGGTCATCTGAGTTGATATATAACGAATAAAAATAAAATTAATGTTATGTAAATATAAAATGCGTTGAAAGGTGTGTTTTTTCTTGACATACGTGTATTCATATTATTCTATAGTTCAATATGAATAAAATAGAGACATTTTTACTTCAGAAAGCTGCTTGATTCGAATAAGAAGAATATATGGTGAGGCTTTCGCCTACCTCCGAAGAGGCCGTTTCCTGGGCTCAAAAGAGCTATACACGCACGTATATTTGTCCTACCTTCACCATAACCAAAACACAGCCAAGATCGCTGACAAGGAAAAACCGCTGCTCTCTTGTGTTTGCACACATTCATTGGGCAGCATTAAGAGTTGCGTGTTATTGTTAATGTGTGCAACTCTCATCGACTCCTCTGGCAACCCATTCCCTGTGGGCACATCGAAATATACCCACAGAATATGAGCAGTATCCAGCGGGGACCACGGGGAGGCGGAGTCGATAGAAGACCATGTTGTATGTGTAGTGTGTTGTGTGTTAAATGACTTTACGTGTAAGTGTTTGCGTGTGTTGGGGTGCCCGGGCACTTGAGTATCTTTTATTTCCCTATCTTATTCTACGGCAGTCATCCAAAGCTCTATACTATCCTCACAAGCTTGATTCGAATAAGGCGAGGGTAGAGCACTACCCTTGTAGGAAAAAAATTTATATACAACGGGGCCTGTCTTGGCACAATACTGGGTTGCCCAGACTCGGCCGAACAATACTGGCCCACGACTGGACCACTACTCAGCTGACAAGTCTTGGTTTGCCAGTCTTGGACCAAGACCCAGCCAATATTCAACTGACAAGCCTTGGTTTGCCAGTCTTGGACCAAGACCCAGCCAATATTCAACTGACAAGCCTTGGTTTGCCAGTCTTGGACCAAGACCCAGCCAATGTTTATGTAACGAGCCTTGGTTTGCCAGTCTTGAACCACGACCCAGCCAATATTCAAGTGACAAGTCTTGATTTACTACTCTTGGACCAAGACCCAGCCAATGTCTCTGTAACGAGTCTTGGTTTGCCAGCCTTGATTCAAGAGTTAACCAATATTTAATTAACAAGGCTTCATGAGCACACCTCCTTCAAACTACCTCTTTTTACTACAAGCTACTTAAAGAAATCTTTTTTGGTAACTGTAATAAAGCTTTGGGAAGAACTCCCACGCGAAATTGTAAATTCGAGTAGCTGACAAGTCTTCAAAAAAGAAGTATTTAATTACTTTTTAAATCTTGATAATTAAAACAAATTCTAATAAATAACAAATTTAAATTAATTCATTGAAAATTAAAGATTAAAATAAGGATGAAGTAATTGCAATTCGCAAAATTATTATGCTGAGTTATCATCGAATCTGATGACATTAAAATTCTATATTTTAAAATTATTATTTTTATATATTAAGTTTCAAGTTTAATATGATTTTCTTTTTTACCTTGTTTACATATGAATAAATTAAATTAATTATTGTGCAATATTATATTATATTATATTATGTACTCACAGATATTACTCTCTTGTAAAAACTGTATGTACTATTTAATTGAAATTACCATTTGGCCTGTGCCTTGGCATTAAATAAACAAAATCTAAATCTAAATCTAATGTAGATATTTATTGTTTAATGAATATTTGTTAGCAAATGCTTAAATTGAAAATTTATTATTTAACAAAAACAATTACATATCGTCAAGATTAATATGGTCTTAAAAAAATTAAAATATAATAATTTACAATCGAGTTTTTAGTATTGATAATTTTAAACATTAAAATTTATAACAAAATATTAAAAGTATACAGAACGATGTATAATTACTAAAGTGATATAAAGACTTGACTTTTGTATTTTTTTAAATTAATAAACATTTGTGAAAAATCTTTTATTTTCATCAAAACACAATATTTAATAACATAAATTGTGAAAATAATAACCGTCACACTCTGTCAGCATATAGAGTTAGCTTATATGAATGATGAGATGTAGATCAACTTATCGGTCGTACGGCGTAGGGGTTAGTTATCGGTCTAGTAAGCGCGCGGCTCGGGTTCGAATCTCGGTTAGGGCAAATGCAATTTTCACTTTATTTTCATAATTAATAAAAATTAGGTCTAAATAAAGAGTCAAAGGGACTAAACATTCATTAGCCTTGCATAAAAATTAAAATAAAAAAAAATTACAAATAAAAAATTTCTTTTTATCACTTTTTATCAAATGGCATGGGCCAGACTTGAATAGTAACTGTGGCCCAGTCCTGGTAACCAGGCATGGGTCAGACTCGAAAATCGGTATTGACCCAATACTAAAATTCAGTCTTGGCACAATACTTATTTTCAGTCTTGGCGCAATACTTATTTTCAGTCTTGGCACAGTACTGATATTCAGTCTTGGCAGGAAGTTATCATTTGTATGCTTAGACGGACTTGGGCCAAGCTTGGATTTCAAGCTTGCCCCAGAGTTAATGAGCATTGCGCCAAGCCTTGGCTAAGCTCGGGCCGATTGTTCTTTCCTCTAAGGGTACCTCCACTACTTCGGGTTATAGGGCGTGCAATTTAGATCTTAAGTATTAATATATTTGTAGATATTCACGTGCTATTATGAAAGGAATTTCTATTTCATGAATCAATTATTAAATATTATATAATTGTAATTAGAATCTTTTTTCAGCATATAAGCTTTAGTTATTTCAAAGTGATAATTAGTATACTTACTCTCGATCTCTCTCTGCAAGGAGCATAGGCATAATTGCCAATTTAGCACTTCTCAATTCAACTTGATCTCTCCGTGCATACCTATAATTGAAAAAATATCCAATACCACCAACGACGGTTGTTGCGATTGTTAATCCTGATGCGACAGCAGCTATAAAAAGTATATGTTATGTTGAATGCACATTTAATTTAATAATTGTCAGATACATTAAATATAAGTCTGTTGATTTATCTAACGTTTTTGATATTTAATAGTAAATAAAGTTTACCAGACTAATTAGCTAGCCAAATGATCAGCTCAACTAAATTATACAGTCAATTGATTGAGCTTATCCTCTTTATTTTTGACCATATAGTCAACCGATTAAACTCTACATCCCTATGATATTGACAAATTTATTTTGATCTTTATCTCAGGGTTTCATTGAGATTTCTAAAACTTACTATTGATAGATAGATATTCGAAAAAATAAATTTGCATATCTGTTCGCAGATTGTAGAAATTAGGAAATTTACAAAATTATATTTATATATATTGTAAAAATAATTTCGATAAGTGATATAATTATCCAAGAAAGGAACTAATAAACCTATAAGTAATCCTCTAAATTAAAATACATGATAGTCTTGAAGTTAGTCAAAGGTCGAAACTCGCAAAAAACGGGCCACGATTCATTATTGGTTAAAATTTGGGCGTAGCGCGCTATTCGAATTTCTAGTTGTTAATTAATTTATAAAAATATTTTATGTTGATTAGGTGGGAAAAAATATAACATTAATTATGGTTTGTAGGAGATATTAGATTATTGGCAAAAAAATTTGTTAGAACAATAAGTTAAAAATTTTAAAATCTTGAATACATAAACTGTTCAACGATAAATTTTAAATTTTGCACTGAATTGAATATGATCACACAGATCACAATTGGAAGTATAATTTCTAGTGCTGTACAATTTGGCCGACTAAACCGGCCATAAAGTTTAACCAGGTTAATTAGTTCATCGGCCAGCTGGTTAATCCAAATTCACCAGTTAAACCGATTAAATAGTTAATCGGTTTAATTAGTCAAACTGATTAATCAGGTAAAACTGTTTTCATTATTGTTTTATTTAAATCTATGACAACTTTTCGAATAAAATTAAAACTTTTCGGATTTCTATTTAAATATTAAAAAACATTAAATTGATTATTTGGTCATTTTTATTCTAAATGATGCAAATTCCGACTCTGGAACTTCAAATAAACGAAAGCGAGTATCTAAAAAAACCTATTACTCCCGGGAAGTAAGTATTTATATTATTTTTCAGTTCAAAATACGAAATATTAATTTTCATTTTATAAATTTTTTTTAGAATCCTAAATTTGAATCAATCACTGCATCATGTGTAAAAATGATTGCATTAGACTTGTTACCTCTGTCTTTTGTGGAAGGTGATGGTTTTTTACAATTTATGAAGACAGTTTGTCCAGAATATACAATACCAAGCAGAACAGTGATTCAAAATTGCTCAAGTATTACATATGATTTTGTGAAAAAGGAAATAGTTTCTGTCTTTAAAAATTTTCCTTTCATATTAATAACATCTAAGGCTTGGTCATCACTTTCAACAAAATCATTTTTAACGATAACTGTTCATGCAATTGATGATTTATATAATTTACGTTCTTTTACTTTAGACACTTTGGAAATGCCCGAAAGTCACACAGCGATTAATATATGTAAGCATTTATCCTCGTCATTGAAAGAGAGGAATATTTTTGAAAAAATTGTTGCAGTGGTTCATGATAATGCTGCTAATATGGTTGTTGCTATACGTCTTGATTCTCCAGGAAATCCCAAATTTACAGAAAGCTTCCGTTGTTTCTCACATACTTTACGATGTGCTCTTACTACAGCTTTGAAAGAAAAAAATATAAACGACTGCCTTCATAAAGTTAGTGCCATTGTAGGACACTTCAAACACTCTTATATTGCAACTGACGCTTTGACAACTGCTCAAAAAGAACTGAAGCAACCAAACCATCGATTGATAACTTATTGTGTGACTCGGTGGAATTCTGCATACTTAATGGTAGAACAAATAATAGAGCAACATCTTGCTATTGAAATGGTATTGATCAAAGATCAACATCATCTTTGGAAATTCAAAGAAAATTATCTTTGAGAAAGTGTGATAGGACATATTTAGAAAATATTATAAAAATTTTAAAACCATTCAATGTAGCGACAAATTTAATGAGTAGTGAAACTCATTCCACTATTGCTATGGTGCGACCAGTTATACGCTCAATTATATCGAATATTTTACAACTCAATGAACAAGACTCGGAATCTATTTAACTACTAAAAGAAACATTAGCAAAACAACTCCAAACTCGATTTTTAGATGAACAATCGCCAGAATTGTTTGGGATTGCGTGTTTCTTGGACCCAAGATAATGGTTATTTATAATTATTAAAATTTTTTTATACAGTAGAACCTCGATAACTCGAACCTCGTTAAGTCATAATCCTCAGTAAGTTGAAGAAAAATGCGATTCCCTTCCGTTCAGACCCATAATACGTGATATTTCGAACTTTCTTGATTCTGTAACTCGAACAATGTATCCTATCCCGTGAAGTATTATTCATATAAATTTAGACTCTATGCCTCGAAGTTCCAAAGAAAGACTCGATAAGACAAGATGACAACCAGGCTGCTAATCAATCTTGCTCTAAAATCAACCAAAGAGAAAAAGATCTGGACTATCTTTTTAATTCTGATACGATTTCCCAAAATTTGAGAGGAATGTCAGTTTTGATAGAAATGATGATGACAGATTTGCAATCGAAAATTCCAATTATGAAACAGAAGCTGTTATTCCGAAAACAGACAATCCTCCTTCTCTTACTAGATTAGCAAAGAAATATTTATGTATTCCATCAAGAAGTACTCCATCTGAACGTGTTTTATCAACGGCAGGGAACGTAATTTCAGCAAAGAGAAGTTGTTTATTACCACATGCAGCAAACATATTAATATTTTTGTATAAAAATCGAAGCATTATCTTAAAAAACAAAAAAATTATCATTCAGTAATATAAATATCCATAATAAATGATTATCTCAAATTAAAACATAAAATAAATAAATATTAGAGTAAATATGTTAAAAATATTAGATTTAATAATAATTTATTAGTTGTATAAAGGAAAATGTAAATTTACTATTTAACCGATTAGCGGATTAACCATTTAACTGGTTAATCAGTTAGCCGTTTAATTCATTTAACCGATGAACTAGTTAATTGGTTTAACCGGTTAATTTGGATTAACCAGCTGGTCGATGAACTAATTAACCTGGTTAAACTTTATGGCTGGTTTAGTCGGCCAAATTGTACAGCACTGATAATTTCCCCCTTTGAAGTAAAAATTCAACATTGTTTTATCTAGAAAAATTAAGGTTAAAAATAACATAGGTTTTGTTGAAGTATAAATACAGGTTACTTGGTTATTATTTTTTTCAAGTTCATGACAACCAACAATTTAACTTGAAAATATTGAAATTATATTGATAATTTTTCACCTTAGAAAAATCGCATTGAAAAAGACTTGCGACAAGTTTTCATTTCTTTACTGATAATTTATTTTTTTTTTTTTTTGAGAACATTAAATTCTTGGAAAACAAACTTATTGGTGGGATGTATATTAAAAATATTTGAACTTCTTTTTTCAATTTCGTTGCATTATATACATAAAAAAAATTACGTTAATAAGTAGTAACTTATGCTTTCAAAGAAATTAGAAAATAGTACATAACAATTAAAAAAAATTATCAAATACAAGTAAATTGATAGAAAGCGACTAAGTAGCAAATTTTGATCAAATAAATAAATGCATCTACAACGTCGCAATACGTAATGAAAATAAAGATAGAGTTAAATGGTTAAATTTAATTGACTTCGAAATATATGGATTAAGTAGTATTTTAAAATAAAGTAAAATTCACTAATCACCATAAAATTATTGCAGATTAAAGCAGGTTATGCCATCAAAACTAAAATAAACCAGTCTGAATATTTTAATTTAGTATACTTTTTCATCATCTCTAGAGAAAGAATAGATTTTTTGACATATTATTAATATTACGTACCCGAAGATAGCTAAATTTAATTTTTACTGTTGGTGACTCATATTTTTATTAAGATTATTTCGATCAAAACATTAAAAAAAAAAAAATATTCTTACGAGTTAAAATTCTACGAAGGGCGACTCGTGAGGTTTGAATAGGGTTGTATCCTCCTTTTGGTGGTAAATCTTGAGTGTAGAAATTTTTGGTTGTTGACATTTTTATCAAACTATAACAATTTTATTTAATTAAGCAAAGAAAAAAAATAATTTATCATAAAATTTTGAAGAAAAAACAGATTACTCAAGGTTGGACTGTACTATATATATACATATATACATATAAAGTTTCCAAACGTCGACTACATCCTCAAGCGCTGCGACTAACTTGAAAAATTGTTGACATTTCATGTCGATAATAGAGAGTTAGAGTAACTATAGTTTTCTATTGTTATGCTTCCATCTAGTGGATGTTATTTTTATTTATTGAAAACTTTACTTACTGTAGTTCTTTCGCCCGGGAGTATTAAAATACTCGGTTTCAGCGCGGGAAAGGAATAATTTTAAATAAAAGAATTCTATTTAGACGTTATTTAATTTTGATCAAAATTATTTAGTTGGCTTCAATTTATTATTCAAGTTGACAAAATATTAAAAGCTTCAAAGTATAAAATTGAGATTTACAATGACGTGATCTTAGCAATCTAAGCTCTCGATGAGAAGTGTCGTTACATAGTTTTTCCGAAGAGCTTCAAACTCCGTTCTTCTCCAACCATAACTTCCATACATACATCCACTCTAAGGAATACATAAATACATACATTTTCGTAGCTACATACAAACACTATTCGTCTGCGATGCGTAGTTTTGGCTACAAAGTGAAATATAGGGACACACACCTCCAATCTACAGACTCGGTATAAAGTCTGGCGCCAAGTACCGTTCAAACGCCAGCCTACCGTGTACTATACTGTAAGCAGAACCTGATTTTAGGGTTAGAAAGTTTTATATATTTATTATAACTTTATTAAAAGTTATGTTTTTTAATAATAGACGGCTCACTGAATTTGGCCCCACTTTTTTTGATTTTCGGATTTTTGATATTTTTAATTATTTGTTCGTCGTTTGTTCGTTAATGTTCGAAATTCGGATCCAATTTACTCTACGATATTTTAATTACTTTTTTTTCATTTATCAATTCATATTTTTCAACAGACAAAAAATCACTGAAAATATTTTGTCCATTATCACTTAAAATTCACATAGCCGACTGTACAAAGGTGTTCATCGATACTGAAGTTTTTTTTTTATCATCTGAAAAAATTTTCGGAAAGTGTCCAATCGAGAGTTAAGTTTTCCAGTTATTGCGAGACGGAAAAAATATTTTTCTATTAATGAAGATTCGGATTTTGTCCTTTCGATTGAATAATTTCCTGATAAAAAAATTTATTAGAATTGTCAATATTTTTTTCGGAAAGTGTCTAATCGAGAGTTAAGTTTTCTAGTTATTGCGAAACGGAAAAAAGATTTTTCTATCAATGACGATTCGGGTTTTGTCTTTTCGGTTTAATAATTTTCTGATAAACAAAATTTATTAGAATTGTCAATATTTTTTTCGGAATGTGTCCAATCGAATTTCGCCTCTTCGTATCGTTTCCAGTCGGAAAAAGAATTTTTCGATAGATGACAGCACGGTTTGTGTCTTTTCGGATATATTCGTTTTCGGTAAGTTTCGCTTATAACAAACTAAGGGTAGCCTGAAATTTTACAAATTGCAGATAACTATACTAATTTTACACTGACTTATTTTTACATAGAGATGTGGAAGCATGGATTTATTTTAACATTGAAATATTTTTTCATAGATTTATTTGCGGTTAGAATTAATTTACATAGAGTTATTCTTGCATGGATATATTTTTAAATAGACAAATTTTTCATATATAGATATTCCCTAGAAATATATTACATAGAAATATCTGACATGGAGCTATTTACATAGAGATATTTTGTGCACGTTTGTTACTGTGTACGGGAAACGGGAAAAATACTTGTCGCCGACTGTAACATATAGATATACAGATTTCTGGATTTCTACAATGCTACAGTGCTTTTTATAGCTACTTAGAGCGGATTTTGGAATGCACCCAAAATACATACGTCATGTATGAAAATCAACCGGTAAATTACGGAGTACTTTACATGTATGAAAGTATGTCTAACACGTCAAGTATATTTTACTTGCTTTTCCTTACGTATGACTATATTATTGTTACTCGTTGTTTCTATTGTGTAAAAACTTGTGTACTCGTACATATATAATTAATGACAAATATATTTATAGAAAATCTCGATCTTACAACATTCAAACTGTTTATTAACATTCAATTAACAAGTAAATAATAGTAAAATAATGACTTATTTCTTAATTTATTATTCGTGAAATAAGCCATTATTCGATTTTAAATGTGTGAAATTAACAAAATTAATTTAATACAACTTTTTCATTAATAATTTCAATTTTTTAGTTATTAAATTCTATTTAAACATTGAATATTATGGCTTCGATTGTTCTAAAATCATTATCAATCCTTTTGGGAATATTTTTCGTTTTTGTTGGAACTCTCAAAATTACATCTTATCTTAGCAAGGATCTTCACAAAGATCTTGTAAGTATCGAATTTTTATTTACATATCAGCAGGTAGCGAATTATGATTATCAAGAACAGTATATTAGACATTTCAAGGGAGATAACTAACACATCCAATGATATTGTTATACGCCTCTTGTGTTGCTCATGCGATTTTTTTTTCTATTTATATGTACTTGTGCTGATGATTTTAAAATTAGAAATATCTGAATATATTATATAGAAATATATACTACTTTTAATGTTTTTTTTCAAATGTATAGAGGCCGTATTCCGGATATGTTAGAATTAAGTCGACACAGTAAGAAGTACCCCCGGGAAAAATTCATCATGTATATGACCATATATTTATGATCATACGTCAGTTTTAACTGTGTCTTGTATGATTAGATAAAGACAAATGATCTCATGTGAATAGTAGAAAAATTTTTCAATATATTTTTGAAAATTATTGAATAATTTTGTTACAGCAATGATCAAAATAATTATTTCATTGATTCGATGATTAGTTCTGACTTAAAATAAAAAAAAACTCGCCTGGTTTAATACCAATCTCTTCTACAGTCACCCAGCCAAAATCTGTTCATGTCCGGCACTGCTTAACTTTTCCGATTCGCGTTTCATTAATCTTTTAGTATATCTATACACTAGGTTGGACCAAAGAAAGACTATTTTTATCGTTAGATATTATTTGTGAACGATTAAATTTATTTTTTAGGTCAAATAAAGAAGAAAAAACAAAAATAATATTCTATTATAAAACCAGTATTGCATCGATTAATTAAACGATTTATTTATTAACGAAAAAAAATCAGATAGAATTTTTATTAAATATTCGTAAGTCCGCCGTGAAAAACAAAAAAAGAATTTGTCGAAAACTCAATTTTTCGATCTTTTATAGCTAAAAATGGTGAAGCCACACATTTAAATAATTATACCTACAAAAATAATTGAACATTTTAGACAACTCTAATAAATCTGAATTAAAATTAATTTATAATATTTTAAAGCTTCTGCTTCAAAAAATTTTAATCGTTGTAAAAAACCGAAAAAAATATTAACAAGCTCGTTTTGAAGAAAAAAATTTTTTTTTATTGATGCTGGTTTCCTTTTGGACTCAAGCATAAAAAAATTTCGTCATATCTACGTTGCTTAACTTTATAATGATTTTTATGCAGAAATAATTAATAACTCCTTCTTCATTTAATATTAGTCATCGGATTATCCACATGAAAAAATGAACAGTTTCTCGATTAACACAATTCTTTAATTTTCTTTCTATACTATGATAATATAACTATCCGCAAGAGACTTCGCTGTATATTAGGTAACACCGAATATAACGTTTTCATGTTTATTACACCAAAATCTACTGCGTGGTTCTTAAAAATTTCATAATTGCACGACTCATGATGCGAAGCATCAGAAAGTGCTTTACGATCGAAAATTTTTTTTGCCCTATTTCGGCAACTATTTTTATTATTATAGTCTTGTTAGTTCACGGAATCAAGGTATTTTGCATACTATTGTCAAGATAATTTAATGGAGATTAATTTGACACTTTTCAAAAATCGATTTAGTGCAATAGAAACGGAAAAAAACATCTAAGGTAAAGTACCCAGTAGTTGAACAGATTTCAAAGTAAAACGTATTTGACCTTACATTTAATATATAAAGATGTAATTAATAGTTTAAATTAGTGATTTTCATGAAAATATAAACAATTTTGAATTGATTGAAGCGCGAAATAACAAAGATAATTGATTATTTAAGTTTTGACAACATTTTTGAAATAGACTATCAAAGGAGTAGCCCGGGAAAAAATGAATTTGCCTAATCATATATAGTTATATATAATCACTTATAGATAATTAGACCTGAAAATTGGCAAGATCTAATCATATATAATCATATATAATTAGATATAATCATATATAATTAGATATAAATATTTCTATTAAAATAAAAAAAACTCAGCGTGAGCGAGGATCGAACCGGGGACCTGACGCTTCAAAGACTAACAAGCTACTTTTTTTTTTTTTTTTTTAAAGAAGTTTATTTGCATATGGAAAAAAACATTTTTGTTTTACATTAAGCTGCAAACTACTAAAAACTTAAAAACTAGCTTTACTACATTATACACTTTGGTTTTAACTTAGTTACTAGTCTCCTTGATTGGAGCAGCTAAAACTAATTCATATTTCTAGAAAAAATAATTCTATTTGTTTTTATTTGATTGTTTTTAGAATTTAATAGTTCTAAGTTATTGGCAATTAATAAGCCTCCTGGATGCTAATTTTTATTATAATAATTAATGGAAAACTTTTCTTATAAAAACCATTAGACTAACACGCTACCTGTTTACCTACGAGACTTACTGGAGGAAGCTTGAAATAACTACAACTAATGCAAATCGAATACATAATCGATTTTTATAAGTTAACTTAATTAATACAGTTCCGTTATTTCATCCACAAAATACTATAATTTAAAAGGTTATTAATCATTGGAGTAGCAGACTCTGAGATAAAAACAGAGAATGTTTTATAGTAATCACGAAATGTATTTATAATTATATATGATTCATATATAATTAGATATGATTCATATATAATTCATATATAATATATATATGATAATATATAGAATAAGTGAAAGGAAATTTTTAGTATAGACCGGATAGCTCAAATGGTAGAGTAGCCGACATGTCTTCGGAAGGTTCTGGGTTCGAATCCAAGTCCGAGCTATCTAATAATTTTT